GAGACAGTAGAACTGATTAGATGAAAGAGCAAGACAAAAGGAGGGGACGCATAAAGGATGGCCTTGTGCAGGGAGCTGTGAGGGATGAATTAGACGTTTCGGGGGGTGGGGGGGATAGCTTGATGTGACTGAACCAGATGCTGTAGGGAGAAGGAGAGGACTCGATGCTGTGCAGAGAATGATGGCTTACGTGGCGCAGTAAGGGTGCCCCTCTACTGTTTGTAAAAACAAGACCATCACACTCCATCTTGCTGCTCCCGCAGGAGCCAAGCCTCAAGGCTGATTTATGGCCCACAGACTGAATTGGCTGGCTGGGATGACAGCAGTGCTTGGACTCTCCCTTGTGAGTAGTGTAGGAGGCTGCTTGGCCAAGCCTCAGCCTCAGCTGGCCATAGAACTGTCCTTTGCTGTAGTTAGGACAGACTAGATGTTAAGCTCTATTTGTTGTGTTAGGATCGGAGAGGACCAAACCTGTTAGTTCTTGAGCATATTTTGAACTCTAACCAACCACAGACAGGCACCGTCTTTTCTGTTCGTGCAGTATTTTTTCTCTCCCTTGTGACGCTTTCATCAGCTTTTGCATTACAGGCTCCATCAAGACTCTGTAGTAACAATTTAGATTTAATCATGCTTTGCCATGTGACTGCCAGGATGGAAAATTAATATGGAGTAGCAATTAGAAAACAGCCCTCTCATTGTTAAAGATACTGTGGCATACCAAGATGAGACCAGAAAAGTGGACATTTTAGCTGCAAATGAAAAGCTTTAAATGAAAACACACACACACACGACAAGAAATTTTGACTCCTTAGGCCTTCGATCGTGTTTATAACTTATGAGTCGATTTTTGGATTTTACACCTGTACTCCCAACCAATGAAAAGGGGCACGTAGCATAATGGCAGTGTTGTTGTGTGCTGTTTGATCTTTTCAGACTATTTGGTAGCGTTGTTACTGAATATTTAATGGGGATTAATATCAAAGACAATAAGGTAACAACAGAAAAACAAGCAAAAGAAATCAAAGGGAATTGGTAAAGTCTGTGGAGGCCATAAGTAAAGCATAGCGAGGTTTAAATTAGTCTACATTATTTCCTTTCATAACAGTTCCATCACAGGAAGCTGTGATGCTGTCTGGATGTCTGTTGAGTAGCATCTGTTTTCATAAGACCATCAGTTGAAATGCATTGTTTCTTCTGCATCAAAAATGTCACATATAGAGGAAGTACAAACAAAAGTAGTTTAAGCCACAAGTGGCACTCTTAGTAAGATGATTTATCATACCGTACTGCTGTTCCTGCACTGCTGTTCATAATTCTTTTTAGGGTTTATCATCCTGTAAAACCAAACTGACTGCATCGTGTCATACTGCAGTTCCCAGTTGTCTTGTGGTAGTCAAACTAAGACATACAGAATTATGATTTTGTCACCTGAATCTGGTTCATATCTACTCAACCCTGTCTCTGCCCCTCCAAACTGGTATTCTCTGTTTTGCCGCTGCTTACGCTGATTTTACAGGATTACATCATCATTTTCTACCTTCAGGCTGTGTGCGCTACTTTTGGAGGGATAAGCGTTTGCGTTTTCCGAGTCAGGCAAACAGGACGCAGAATAGCTGGCGAAAGCTCAGGGAATTATACGGGGAGGCGTCTCGCTCAGTGAACGCATCCCTTCCCTTTTGTGTCAGTGGATTTTAGTCTTTTTGCTGATTCTTCTTTTCTTGCTACATTAGCAACAAACAAATAGCACCTGCAGCTGCATAACATGAAGGGATCATTATACGCAGTGCACAAGGGTAAACTGAGCAACGAGCTTGTCAGGATGTGGGATTCCCTCGCTGAAACTGAAGATCTGTCTGCTGTAAGCTGAAGTTCAGACACCTTCATCTGATTGAGTCAAATAGACAGGACAGAATCGGCTGCCGGCAGGTAACAGATGCAAGATGAGATGGAAGGAAGCATGGGTTTTTCACCCTGTGTTGATGCAAATTGGTGCTATAACTACAAACAGAAAAAACATGGAGTCCTATCAGGAGACTTTAGCTTTTGCACATGTTTTATTTTTTTAATTTCATATTTTCAATCCTATATATAAAGTCCTTTCTACTACCTTGGAGTCAACATTAGAGTGCAGCATGTTTGATATAATAGTAGTGTTGTGATCTTGATACATGATTAGAGTTGTACTTTATTACCATTATATTGCACAATATTTTAAATGAACAAATCAGACACACACACACACACAAAATCTGCAGCCCAGCCTGTACCTCCTGGTGGAGCTCCCTTCGTAATTAATTTTGTGGATCGGAAATGCTCCCAATGACATCCTTCTCTGTTCCGTACTCTAAATCTGTTCCTGGAGCTGATTGGCAAGCTTATTTTCCTGATAACTTTGAATACACATGCACAGCAGGAGGGCCTTTACTGTCTTCTATTCTGTACTTGTTGACTTCTAAATCTAAGCAGTGCTGTAAAAGCCTTTAATTCCTCTCCTACCTTACACAAGCTTGTTTTTCTCTTATCTTTTAATGGGAGGAGATTACGTTTTGTTAAAGGTCGATGGCCTGTCACTTTTTTCATTTAAATTTTGTCTCCTCCAGTTTTTGGGGCCTTTTAGAGCAACATCTGCGTTTTATGAAGCTGCAAGGAAAGGCAGGATGTGTGAGTGTTAATAGCACTTGGCTTTCATAACAATGTCATTTACAACCCAGTTGCTCGCTCATAGACCCCTAAAGGAAAGGAGAGAAATGGCATTCACTGCATTTGCACGCACGGCGCAGTAGAGAGCATACAACTTGTGTATGTTTCTTTGTGCCTCAAGGCTTTTCACGCCTTAGAAAGTGCTTTAGGCTATAGAAATAAGCCAAAGGGTTTAGAGGAAATTGAATTCATTACCGAGATGCTTGTAAATTTTTAATCAGTGCAGCAAAAGATCTACTTTGTCAAACATGCCAAACAAGAATTTTGGTGAGATTTCAGATTGCTAAATATAGAGCTCAACTTTTGAATGAATGTAAAACAAAAGTTTTCAATAAGAGCACTAAATGCTCATGTGAACAATTATCTTTACATTGCCTCTTCGAGTTTATATTTAAAAAAATGCGTTTTAAAGTGCCGTTACAGGTAAAGCAGTTACGCGGGGTTAAAAAGGCTTTGAAATTGTGCTTTTTTATGTTTATTTATTTTTCTATTCATCATCCTCTATTATGTTCTTGGTACCTGGAAAAAATTACTTTCTGTTGTGATTGCATTATTACATCCTGATTGGAAATGTTTAAACAAAACCCCCAACTCAATGCCTTTTGTCTCCCTGATTGCTGCCATTGCAGTTTCGTGGACCAATCAGCATTCATTGTCATTTCCATAGATGCAGGACTATAACTAGTGGGAAATATTCAGTTTTCACACATTATTGCTTCTTGGCCTCATCAAATGAGCTTAAATGTATGGTAATTAAATAAAGCAGCCTCGTTATGCCTGTTACGTATAATTTGGATAGTATTGGGTGATAATAATTCAAAAATGCATTTTACATATTATTAAATTGTGTGTACTTAAATTGTTACTGTGAAGTATAGTTCAGATGCTTCAAAGACAACGGGATTTCTTCATCCACATTCATTTGAGAGAGAATGTCATGTCAGTGCATGTCAGCCTGTGCACAATTAGACAGACATGATGAGAGAAATCCTCTTCTGTCATATGGACATTGGTAACTCATGGCTTGCGATTTCGGTGCCCATAGGCGATGATTCCTTCACAATTTTAAGACAGCTCGTGATATCCCTAACATACTCATTCAGTTATTCCATGACATGGTAACCAGTCATATCTGTCAGTCTCATCAGATTATACTTTATGAGAGACAACTCTGGCATATCTGCTCCTGAAAAGCCTGTCTCCAGTCTTTAAATATCGATCCCCGGGGCCTTAGCAGAGGTGCCTCTCATGAGTACAGAAAAGAAGAGAGAAAAACAGATCATTAGTGATTTTAATTAGGTGATCTGTCAAGCTGCGATTGCCAGATGTAAGTGTATGCATTTGGGTCGATCGCAATCCCTCTCACGATCCCTTCTTGTCACCTTGGGCCTCTGAAAAGTAGGATGGCTCTTGCTTAGAGTAAAACAAGCAGTAGGGGAGAAAAGAAATATGTCACTGTGCATGTGTGTGGCAGGTTTCTTCCTAAGAAGCAGGTGGGGGGTTCGGTTTCATATCGAGGTTTAGGAAAAATGAGTTTTGTTTGAAATTTTCCAAAAAATATCAACGTTCTGCTGCTAAAGCTAGAAATGTGACACCGTGAACATTTTCTAAATGAAATTGACAGAGGACAAACAAAATTATGTGTACATGAGATTTCTGAGTACTGCTCTTTGGACTGTTAAAGAACAAACAAGAATTAAAGCATTTGAGTTTGAGAGACTTCGGCTCCTTTTGTTGTTATAATGATGCAGAAATGTTCTTAAATGTTTTTCCCTCAACACAACAAAATGCAGAAGACGCAGTTATACAGACTCAGACAAATCTTTTTTTCACTTCAGCGTTAAACATCATTACATATTTATAACCCGGCGCCAGATGACAGAAACAAAGAGGGAGAGAGATATGAACCGTACAGCGGCACCGCAACTCGTCTGGTGTCTTTGTGAGATATCTGATTGCAATGTTTAAACCTGCCTTTCATCTAATGTTGCTACAGAAAACTCAATTATACAACAGCTGCAAATGGACTTTTGATTTAACAATTCATAATTTAATTGGCATATTAGACGTGCCCCTAACATCCAGCCCTAGTTATCATGGAGTAGTGTTAAAGGGAGTGCAATATTGCGCTCATGTAGATTGCAAAAAAATCATTTAGTAATGCTTAACTGAGTTTTCATGTGTTTTTCAAGTCAATTCTGACATACTTAAATTGTGAGGGGATTATCAGAATAAAGACGAAAATCAATTAACTTTAAGAACAAATATAACAATTAGGTTGTCTCTTTATTTCCCCACAGATCCCAGTGAGGGCTTTCACTGCCAGGATGAGTGTCGGATCCTAGGCCACTCTGACCGCTGCTGGATGCCTCGCGTTACAGTCCCAGCACGCGCCAAGTCACCCGAGCACGCTCGCAACGTCATCGCTTTGTCTATCGAGGCCACCACGGTGGACGTGCCACACTATGAGGATGGCACAACAAAGAGGACTTTTGCCACCTTTGGCAAGGATGGGTCTGAAGATGTGGAACGAGGAGACATAAAGGGAAAGCGGACTCAGGAGTCTCAGGTGTGTAGCCCCAAGGCCAATGGAGGGGCTGTTCGTGAAGCTGGCAATGGGCGGGAGGCGGCCAGTCCCATCACTTCCCCTGTGCACCTGAAGAGCCCAATGTGCAAGCCGTCATCTGCCTACAACACGCTTAAATGCCGTGACGCAGAGCGAATCGCCAACCACAGCCTGCTGCGGCAGCCGGAGGGGAAGGACAGTGAGCCGGCTGTAAGGGAGATCAACACGCTTCTCCACGACGGCCGAGACAAGGAATCCCCCAGCAGCAAGCGCCTGAAGGACATTGTGCTTTAGCAAGCTTCTCTGTGACACACACCAACATGTATACACACATCCAGTGTAAACTCACATATATATACCCCGCAATAGCTGTGTATACACAGAAGAAAATCTGGCTGTGGCAGTAGAGAGACACACCCATTTGCAGTATACAAAATTGAAAAACCAGCCTGGGCTGAAGATAAACTGACGTATGCTGCAGCTAGTTGTGTGCTCAGGCCCAGGTAGTGGATGTGGCTTCGTTGTAGTCGCAGTACTTTTTCCTTGTTTGCTTTTTGTTCAGATTTCTTTCTATCAGCCTGCGATGAGTGGACAGGCAGGTTACTGCCGACTGCATGGACACGGCCAGTGGAGCTCTCCAGCCCTCGACCCAAAGCAGGACTTTACATGTTTGGACACCTGAGGTGCCAGTTCATACGTACAGTTATGCCTTTTGAACTACTTTTGTATCACGAACTGATATTTGCCTTCTTTGGTTTTGCAGTCTGTTTTAGCTGCCAAAATCGCTCTTTGTTCCTTTGTATAGAGTTCTGTCACTGTAATAAACAAAAACAAATACACACAGGATTCATCCAAAAATATCATCAATTTACTCCTTCAGAAGTTTGCAGTGCATTCAGGAGAAGGAAGGTGAGGCCTCCCGGTCTCATGTCTTCCTGTCCCTGACAAATAAGAGAAACTTTCTCTGCATGTCCCTGAGGACATCCTCGTGTCATCAGACTGTGAGGTCCTTACAGTATTTATATTTTATCACGGATGGAGCTGATTGAACTCTCGTTGTCTGCCAAGCCGCTCTGACTGCAGGAGGTGGGGACAGACAGATACTTGTGATCAAATTGCGTTGTATGAAACAAAAAAAAGACTTTCTGCTTTTGAAATCTCCTGTGCCCAACCTTGATTGTAGCCAGTGGAGCACAAATTAGAACTTTGTGCTTTGGTCTTGTACTTTTTTTGACTTTTGACTATGGGGCTAGGATAGAAGGGATCGTCACTCATGTCTTGCTATGTGAAACTCTGTATAGGGTTTACTATTATCATTTTTAATAACCTGTTGTTATGTGACAATCCCTTTAATGTTTTGTTTCAAGAGAAAAAAAATGAATAAACATTGGTGTTCAACTGAAGCTACAGTAGCGTTTGTTACACAAACACAAAAATAAAAAAAACATATATGCCAAAATATATTTTATAAATAATTTAAAATGTATAATGAGAATATTTAATGCTGTGTAGTTATTTTATCAGTAAGTTATACTTGAAATTAACTTGCTTTTCGTTCATTTGTCTTTTGCTTTTATATTGAACCGGATTTGTTTTGGGGTTTTTTTTTTGTTGTTTATGTTCAAAACTTGGATTTTTTTTTTTGTTTACTGTGTGATCCCTGGCAACTGTTGACTTGCAGTCTACCTTGTTGTAAAGAGTTTCTTATTGGTCAGTTCTTGTGCCATCCAGTTTCTGTGTGGGCTACCAGAAAATGTAAAAAGACAAAAAAAATTACATAAAACAACAACGACAAAAAAAAAAGCGATTTCAGCACCAACATTAGTGTGTCAGTTCAATGAGCTTAGAGTGAGATAGCAAAAGAAACCAAAAAAGATGCAAACACAACCTTAATGATTGCAGGATGTTGCTTCATCTCAGTATCAAAGGAGGAAGAACAGCTTCCAGTGTTCTCCAGGCTGCAACGAGGTTCCACCTATTTTATCTGTGTAATAGGTTGGCTTTCCTATATGGCCCAATCACATGGGGAAAAAAAGACTTTTCCAACTTCAGATGAGGGCATTGTGATGTGCAGATTAGCTTTACTCAGCACTGCTGTCACCCTGTACCATCTGTGTTCTCCTGATCTCAAAGCTAAGGTTGAGACCACAGTGGCATAAGCAGGGCTCTCCCTTACTATGAGCACCACACAACAGACTGGGTGGAATCATGCGAGAGGGAACTAAGGTCTTGGAAGAACCGTGTTGCACATCAGCAATGTGGTTTTATGTTGCTTTGCAGTAAACTATGTACAATGTGGAAAAATATGAATGAAAATGGACAAATTGCATACAACAAACTAGATCTCTGTAGCTGAATGTTTTGCTGGTCTCACCCATGGCTTCTGGCAACATGAAAATCGGAATAATCACTGAATGTATACAGCAGCTTATAATTAAACTATTAAATGTTCTCTGCTTTGTTTTCTTGTTTTTACTCGACACCGGTGAAATTTCGGGTTGAACTGAAATTTGAATCCACTGCTTCTTAACAACCATTGTGTCTTTGTGTACTGAAAGAAGTTCTCAGCTGAACTTTATCCATCACAGTGCTATAAGTATAGTACTGTGCAAAAGGATTGAGCCACTTCCCCTTTTTTATTTTGCTGAGCTTTCTCATTACTTCTTTAGGTCGTCTTTGGGAATAGTTTTTTCTTTTGTTTCCTTCTGTGTCAAGATTACACCATACCGCTTCAATAATGTTGAGGTCTAGGCTCTGAGGCCAGGCCGTGACTGATAGTGTTCCATTGTGTGTTTTTCTATCCAGGTATAAATTCACTGCACTGGCAGCAGTGTGTTCAGTATCATTGTCATGCTGAAAAATGAAGCCACTGTCAATCAGAAACTTTCCAGGTGGTATTGCATGGTGGATCCAAATTTGACAGTACTTCTTTATGTTCAGAATTCCATCAATTTTGACAAGATCCCCAATACCATGACAGAGCTTCCACTGTACGTGTACCGCGCCCTGTTCTCCTGTTTCCCTTTCTTAAGAACGGCTTCTTGACAGCCGCGCTTCCACTGAGACCATTTCCGAGACCATCTGGCCCTTCTCGACTGAAGAGCCAGATGCATTTCTCAGGGCCTGTGTCACTCTCTCAGATACTGCTGTAGATACTTTTTAGCCCTGCTACTTCTTCTTTTGTCATCCACTTGCCCTGTTTCCCCAGTTGGTTTAAGGACACACTGGACATGCCAACATGTGCCAAGTTTTCAGCTAATAGCTTTTTGTAAAACTGTGATATTTTTGGCATTTTTCATAGATTCAGCTGAAGAAATGAGAAGAAATTCTGTTTTTGCAGTAGTTTTTGATAGAAACAAGTGACCTAAATAATCTATTTAAAATAGGTTCTTTGCTAGTTAGTCTGAAATGTGTGGACATACCACTGGTCGTCTTTTCTATTTAGGTTTCTTTTTTATGCTTGAATGATTCATATGTCAAACTGGTCAGTGTCCACAGAAAAACAAAATTCTTTTGGAAAGCCTGGAAAACTATTGCCCAAGATGACTTAAAAATTTCAAAGGAAGTCTGTGTCCTTGGAATCAAAATACAAACAAATGAGTGGTGGCGCAACACTTTTCTCACATTCAGACTGAAACAAAAAACGGAGACATGTGAAGATATTTCTCAGCCAGGAATTGTTGTAATTTCAGTTCATCCTTGACGCTGATGTTCAACATGCAGCAATATATCAGTAATAAGTAAGCCGGTGTAGGAGGTGAGTGGAGAATGCAACAGGCTCTTTATTATGAGACAATTCAGTCTTTCCACAATACATTAACATTTTGTATTACAAAGTGAATTTCAGCACGCTGTTCTTGAAAACAGCACGATAACACATCAGCACATGTCCTTTCTGCTTGATATGTGATATCTGTTTGATATTAAGAGTTTTTTCTGAGGCTGGCTTAAAGCCTTCATTAATATTCCATGCATTCACTGTTGTTCTTTCCCATTATTTCCAAAGCAGACCTTTGGGAATCTTTCAGAAAGTGAGGCTAGTGTGTGTGTGTGTGTGTGTGTGTGTGTGTGTGTGTGTGCTAGTGTCTCTTTCAGACAGAGCGCCTTCATCCGCAACAGTGGGTCAAACATGCCACTTTTAGGAGATTTAACACTGTAAATGTCTCTTAAAAAAACTACAACGTAGACACTGATCAGGAGCACGAAGGCTGTCATCGAGATTCACATTCCACTGGTGGGTAATGTGCTTTCACAGCCAACAGTATGATGTCACTGAAACACTAGATCCCACTTGAAACATTGATTTATTAGTCGACTTTGAGTGGAAGGTTGTAAAAGCTATGAAATAAGTTGAAAAGCAAGACAAAGCTGGATTCTTTCTCAGCAAGTCTGAAACACTTTACATGAAATTTTCACTCAATAAAGGCTCCACTCTTCACCTCCCTCGCAGACAGCAGGTCTTTCTCACGAGTAAGGCGGTATGGATTGATAAAGGGAAGCAGAGATTAGATACAGAGCAGGACACTTTTTGCCACTGTAGCGACTGAACGAAGCAAACAAGCAAGAGGAAACACACATGCCACACAGCTGCCCTCTATGATAAGAAAAGAGGTTGGCTTCATTTCTATAATTAATTTGCCATTCCCTCTATACCCCCTGGTGGAGCCAACATGAAAGCTGGTCTGAAAGCACACTTGCTAACACATCCATTAGTCTATAAGGAGGATCTTGTTTCTTCCAGCTAAAGTCTCTCCTCATGGGCAAAACCACTATTCTAGCCCTGCCTCACTCATATGAATTACTCATGCCCTTTCAGCAGTGTTTAGACCCTTGGGTCCCCATAACAAACTTGCCTGAACCAAAGGTACAGTCCTGCCTCCAACTGAAGGGCAAAGTATGCATTTTAAAATCCATATTAGAGAACCCAGTCTCATTAGCATTAACCTGAAAAACAGACTCGGTGCCACAATACTGCAGTAATCCTTTTTTATTTTCTAACTAATACATGTAGCACGTTTGTCTCCTGCATCAATCCATTATCCCACTCAGTCAAACCTTATTTGCAATGCAGGAAATTCCCAAACTAGTGTTTTTCCATGCATATTTAATTACTCTTGATTCATGGTGGTCATGGAGAATATCCTCCATTAGGGTAAGATTTATATAAAAGGTTACTAGGACACACATCCTATTAACATCCTATTAATGTTTCAATTATCATTTAGCAAAATGGTGAGAGGGGGAATCTGAGATCAATTAAAATGATTTATTTTGAACACAGGCATCCGTTGAAAAAGAGCAGAAGGAGTGCCTGCAGCCTCACATTCCTTCAATACAAAATAGTTTGTCGCCGGTTCTTTTGAGTGAGACACACCCCTGACCAACCCCCATTCAGGCTCACTGATCGCTCACGCTCTAGTGACCTCATTTTATCAAAAGGGCTCGCAGCTGCTCTTGCCTCATTACGACCATCTATTCCATTCACTAACCTCTGGTGGAGGTTGACCATTGAAGTAGGTGACAGCCGACAACATGTTTGAGGTAACGTGCTAAATCTCATATTGAAACCTGTTGCAATCTTTAAACACCAGAAAATTGATGAAAAAAATATATATAGAAAGAAAACATTAATCAAATGTGATGTTTAATGCCTTAAAATGTAAACACTGGTGCCATTTGTTTGTTAGTTCAGTAACTTCATCCACAAATATTGTGTCTGCATATTAGAAAATCCACTCATTTTTGTCCACTGCAGTGTGCCAAGAGATTTCTAAATCAGGCATGTAACTAAAATTCACATCACAAGGTTAACATCTTTTCTCTAATGTTTCTACCACTGAAAAGCAGGTGAGCTGGTTAAGACTTTTTAGTCACAAGATAGAAAAAAAGCTTTTTCACCTTAATTTATGTAAAACTATTAATGGATAATAAGGAAAGTGCTACTTTTTTTTATTAGTATTTAGGCATTTTCTCAATTGGGTATTTTTATATCCTCTCTAGGCCATTTGCCAAACAGATGATGGTTTGTTTCCCAGGTCCACACCTGAGCAAATTCATATCAGCACAGAGCCGAGTCCATCTAGCCTCATATGTGTCATCACACCAAGTCTGCACAACTTCCAACCTAGGCCTGGATGTAGATAAGAGGTCCTTGATGGATTCTGGCTTGCACTGCACTGTGGATCTAAAGTTCAGCCTTTGCCACCGTTAAGGATTGCTGCAGTCACAGTCATTTGAAGTGGCAAGCTCCAAGAATGGGATATCAGCTCAGAGGCTATAGTGTGAGGCCAGAAAGTTTTTAGAAATTATAAGTAGTCTCAGAGACGTATTTTTCTAGTCAGAAGGTACTGCTATCTGCACAAAAAGAACAACCTCTTGCTATATCTTCATATTGTATAGGAGAGGTTAGCCTTTGTCGTAATGAGAAGCCGGCTGGTCATGGTATCAATAAGAAGACTGATTACCCTCTCCATCTCCCCACCACAACCACATCTAACAGGGTTGGCCAGTGGCCATTTCCTTTTGTGGTAGTCACAACAAAACTCTGATCACCACTGAAATGAGCGGCTCAAACAATAGTCTACAGTCAGAGAGCGCTACTGAGCCCTCACTGACATGGGAAGCAGTGTCTGCCACATTCCCCCAGCAAGCTTTAATTGGAAGTGATGCTAGACAGATCATATCATAACCATTAGTGATGGCCTGATAAGACTGACCAAGGAGCTGCTCTATAAAGCTTCTTTGTCCCAAAAAAAAAGGGTCCAATGAGCCCCTGGACCCGACAGCATGCCATCTCCAGCAGCAATCACAGCCTGACCTTAGTCACCTCTCTCAGCCCTTAATGCCCAGGATGTCGGCTCTAGGGCTGTGGAACTGGGGCAGTTGACCTCCCCCTCTCTAGAGGGTAAAATCCCTGATAGCAGGGACTAGAAATTAAAGACTGTGGCCTTTGAAAGCCTCTATTATTGTCAGAGGGAGCACAGCAATGAATCTCGCCAGCCTCTCCATGGACATGCATTATCAGAGGGGTGATTGTTTGACCTAAACTCTCTGCTTGGCAATGATTTATTTTACCCTGGCACAGGTACATTCTCTGACCTCTCTGTCCTCTTGGAGTGACAGAAAATGTCAGGTTTTTTGAATATTGGCTCATAAGCGGTATAAACACCGTACGCATTTTAAAAGAAGAACTGAGAATCCATTTCTTTAGTCCATCTCAATCTGTTTTCTGTCTCTGTGGAATGATGCTTTTTACAGGAATATACTGGGAACTAAAAAGACTGGATCAATTGTTCCGGTGCTGTAATTCAGAAAGATGGATTGCAGTCCAGCGTGAGACCAAAATGTGCTGTGAAAAGCTAAAACCAAAGGAGCATGTCACTTCAAATGTCAGCTCCCCTGGTTAAAACTATTCTCTTGTCTGCTTGCTTGCAGACAAGAGATTAGTTTTCAAATATATGCAATATCTTCAAAAACCTCTGCAGGAGTGAAAAGGTCTTTGTTATTTTACGTGCTGTGTTTGTGTTTCTTGTGATCTTTTGACAACAAACTACACAAAATATAAAATGAGTGTTTTCAGCACTTTCTTTTTATCTTGTTGTGACTCATATTGCAATGCTGTTCGAATTGTTTTATTGATAATTTACTAAATAGCTGATGGCATATTGATTTTATACTTTTTTTTCCCTGAGCAAATGCGCAACACAGCATATTAGACAAACAATGCATGGTTTTATCACTGGGGGAAACAGTGCATCCATTGTGTGCACATAAATCTTTGCGTCGGGCATGCCTGAAAAACTCTGTATTCTTTATCAGTCACCAAGCTAAAGGGGAATGACTATGAGAACGCACATTAGGTTTTGCAGTATACCCAACACTTTGAGTTGGAGCTCTTCTGACACCTTTGGGTTGGTTACAAAATGCAAACTAAAGTGTCAGGTGATGAGAAAGAGAGCTGAAAAGATCTTGAACATTCATTCAGTGTCATTTCTCTGTGTTTGTCCTTCTGCCTTTTCTTTTGTGTCGGTACAAGGAAAGAATTATTTTCTGAAAACCAGCCCAGTGGGAATTTCTTGACCATTTAGCTGACAGTTATTTCTTGAGCACAAGGCAAGAACGAACAGCTCCGCTTTTTCGAAGCGGAGCTGTTCGTTCATTTCTGTCTTTGACACTGTGAGTTTTTAATTGTGATTTACTCATTAGAGAGATTTCTTTTTATCAGCCAGGAGATAAACATGTTGTATATGCACATGTTGTGTACTAGACCCGTGCATCTTTGGGGATTAAATAAAGCTCTTAAAATTGGCCATTATCAAAATACATCAGTGCCCCAAGTTGAATAACTTTGGTCAAAGAAGTTTAATTTTGGAAGGTCTAGAAATTAACATAACATATATTTCAAGGCCTCCTCGGCGGTAAAATGAAAATCACTCTAAATGAATGGACACTGCATGGAATGCACTCTTATTTCTTTCATAACAAAACACTGGAGCTGCTTAATGGGGAATAAAATCTTTCAAGGATAAAGACAAATATTATATTTTATAATGCAGAACCTTTATTGTTTGTTGCTGTTGTTTCCTCTACTATAACCTTGTTTATCTCTTTTGTGAGCTACTATTCCTTTTGTACCAATTATATGCTTTTGAGAATTATAACATTTTTTGAATGGACGGATAGAAATGAAATTTCTCAGAATTGTTACGGCCGAGACCGTTTCAGACGAGTGACAGGACTCAAACGCAAGACGCCGAACAGCTCGTAAGTATATTTTAAGAATAATGTTTAATGTTTACACAAAATATTCATAAACAAAAGGTGAGCGTAGACGTTAAACTATATAACGATCTGGTCTGGGTCAGAGAGGACAGCTATTCCGGGGATTGGACTGGAAAGCAAGTCACAAAGGGTCCAGGAAAAGGTCGGGGTCACTGTAACAGAATGCAGATGTTCAAACATAGATAAGGAGGCATATGAATATGTTGTTTGGCTCAGAATCCTCCTTCGTACTGCGTACTTGCCAACGGAGGTCGGAGATGACATAGAGGGGTGAGTAGTCCGGGTGTGTAAATCCAAAAACTCCTGGCGTGGAGGCAGAGAGGCAGGTAGGTAATTTTGGTAATAGCCTGAGGGACTGCCAGAAGGTCCAGCATCCAAGTAGAAGCTCTTCGCCAGGGGTTGACAGTTAGGTGTAGCTGAAAAAGGAGGCGCACAAAAAACAAACATACAGTGAGGCAAGGTGATTCAAAAAAACACGTAGGGAATTTATGGTGGTGGCCTGCACTGACTGATGTTTAGCAGAGAATCTGGCGAAGAGAGATTGAGAACGCTGGCCTTATGAGTCCCCGGCTAATTACCCACAGATGTAAGCGATCAGCAAAAACACTGAGGCCCCTCCCAGGGGTGGAGACGCCGGCTCGGAGGGAGACACACTGGCACACACCCGGACCATGACAAGAATCAATCTGTACTTATTAACAATGTAACAAAACCTTTTCAAACCTCAGTACCATTGGCTGAAATGCAGTCTCAAACCATGTCGCTATTGTGCTTTACAGATGGGTGTAAGCACTCACTGTTGGACTACTCTCCTGACCTTCTCTGTACATATTGATGACGATTTGAACCAAAAATCTGGATACATCACTCTGTCAGACCTCGTGCCACATATTTTCAGTCCAGTTTATTTGTAATTTGCTGCTGTTGATAGCTTATTTAAAAGCAGCTACTTACTCTTTTCTCCTCCACTTGTCCAGTTTCCTCACATTTTTAAGGACACGCAGTACACCATGATGAGAAATGCCAATAAAGCGACATATTAAACAGCACTAAAGATAAATGCCTGGTAGCTGAAATTTAAGAACCACTGTTTTGCATTATATACCACCTGAATAATTCTGCTTTAACACACATTGTGACTTTTTTTTTCTTTCTGAGTTCCACTAAAGGATGAAAATATATCAAGTCTTATACACGAGTGACTCATTCTTTTTATTGCAAATATAGAATGTTGGACTTCTGGCTGATAATGCCGATAATGGTCTTTCTCACAACAACTAAAAGATTAAAGGAAATTATTAACAAATAAAAAACATGCACATGAATTACTATTACTATGCAAATGTTATGCATACAACATATATGCATAACATTTGCACAGGGCTTCTGCAAATAAATGCCATTAGGTAGTCAAAAAATGGCTGAATGGATCTCACCATTTTGAAGAGAAGAATGAGAGATTACTCCGAGAGCTGAAATTGGAACGGTGTGTAGAGTGCATGCTACTTATTGTTCTCTGTTTTACTTAAATCTCTCAACAAAAGTAAATGGATAGCTCACAGCTTCAACGACAGACACGTGCAGCTTCCAGGCAGCTGCTGGAAGAAACTGGACCTTTTTTTTTTTGCCTATTGTACATTTGTCTGATGCAGAATTGTCCTCAACATTAAAGAAGAAGAAGAATATAGGCTGGAATGAAATATTAAACTTGAAAAAGTGTGCTCTGATCTGGCCATTGTGGCTGTATCATCACAAATACATCTTCACAGATTTCTTGTGGGTGGTTTATGTAATTTGCTACTCGACACCAAGATAGTCAGCACAGCAGAGTGTATATCTCATGCTCTGATTGTATTGTATTGGTACAATTCTCTGGTAGTGCATACAATAACTGGAGCTTTATCAACACCTGTGATCCCTCTTTGGGTTTAATATTCTTGTAAGACTCGTTCATGTCCAGTATTATACTTGTTATATATTTGTTGTCAAACACCATGCTTAATGGCAGCATCATTTAAGTGTATGAGCTTCAGTTTTCACAGTTCAGTGTTCATTACACACTTTCCATTTTGGAAAATGCTATTCAACCTCATCTCACCAATGCAGCTCAATGCAATGCTTTTAGAAGTCACAGAAAACCCCAGGGAGTATGTGTCTTTGTTTAATGTGACCCCATGAAGAATAAGTAGCCTGTGTGAGTTTTTACCCCCAAAATGCTTCAATAATAGAAGGCCTGGGTGATAACACTGCAGGAGTGTGAGGGCAGTAAAGGCTTCCAGGGATTCAGTTTGACAAAGTGTGAGTATTAGAAATTCCACTCCTTAATATCTGGATCCTTTAGCCTCTCTCTCTAACTCACTTGGGAACTTGTTCTCAGACTCAACAGGATGGATTCTAATAAACCTGGACCCCAATTTCCAACGCAAACTAGCATTTTCATGGAACAATGTGCCACCATTATAAGAACTTCTAGTCTAAGAACTCCTTAAGGGATTAAGGGAAGTCTATATCACAGCTTAAGTGGTGCAGTTCATCAAGACCTTTGATCAGCAAAGTATATAAGAGAGCAGTGGAAGTGGGAATTAGGATATAGCTAATGTTTATTGAAACACAACCAAAGGTTAGGCCATTGTTCTTATACAAGGGTCTACATTCACTAACACAGACATTTTGAAGGAAATGGCCTATTGAATGTTTTTCAGTGCATTTAGAGACAGTAACTGTGGCAGGATTATAAGATAGTCTTGCTCTTTCTGTCTCCTGACAACAAGTAAACCACCTTGTAGAGCAGCAATCAATCAAAATGCTCTCACAGAAACAAATGAATAATGAAATCTGCTGCATCACAAATGGCAATCACTATTGTTTTACCTGCATAACAATGACTGGCTGAACAAATAAATTAAACAAGAGATAAAAGGTCAAACATAATTTAAGGCAATGCTTTCTTTTATTATTCTCACACATTATTCCTCTCAACCAGCTTTAATAGGACACTTTATTTCTTACACAGTGGATATTGGTAAGCAGTGGAATGACAGGGCTCCTGGCATAACGCTGCCATAGAAATATGATTGTTGTCATGATTATAAATCAGAGACCAGTGTCTTTGTGCTGCAGTGATTTACATCAATACTGGGATAACAAAAAATCAGCTTTTTCCTATTTACAAAGAGCATGGTGGAAATAATAATTTAATTCAAACAAGCAGGTAATTGGCTATATTACAAACGCAATTTAACACAAGACAATTCAATGCTTTAGATCTTATTTATCTTTTTGTTTACCACTCTGGTCTTGCAAAATGGAAAAACAGGGTTCTTAAGAAAAATACTCGGGACTGGTTTAAAAAATACCTATCGGTAAAAAAAATGTATTAAAAAAAAGAATGAAGATTACAGACATTTTTTAATCTAACATTAAAATTTGCTTTGTGAGCAAATAAATGATATGAAAGTGGTTGACCAGGGTTGAAAATGCTATGTAAGAAAAACCAAAGTCATTATATTTTATAAAATCACATAAAATATATAAATGTAAAATCACATCTTGGTCCTGTTCCAGCAAAATAAAGTAAAGACTTTCCTCGGAAACAAAGAATGTTACTGGGTTTATGCAGGCATTCATTAAAACTGGTATTTGGCATGATTAATGATACTTGCAATTTGCAAGGAAAAGTGCAGGCTCTGTTGAGGTCTGAACAGAGAAATGTGTCTGCAGTGGGTAAAGGGGTGGGTGGTCCTTGCTCCTCTCTGTGAAACCCCACTTTCTCTGTGATGTTGTGCTGTGCTGCAATTCCTCTTAGGGATCAACGCTCTGCAACACAACGACTTGATTTCTTTCGACAAGTAGTCTCTTAATTTTTTTCTCTTTTTTTGGTGGGCCTGATCATTATTTCCTCATTTTGCATTCGTTTCATCAGAGATAATTTATCTCTGCCTGCTTTAATGAAGTGATAATTCCATGATAATTAACGTAATCCTGCACCAAAGCAAATTTGCCTAATGACTGTTGTTTTGATAGTCAGAGTTGCTGCATGGGAGAATGTCCACACTGGGATGAATCAAGGCTCTGTGCCAGGCAGAGGAAACGGGAGAAAGCCGAGCTGGCAGCCAAAGGACGGAGAAAAGTACAAGAGAATTTTACTTTATGACCTTAACTTAGCTGTGGGCTAAAGGACCCCAGCCCGTTTTATTCAGGAGTACAAACAATATGGTGCTAATAGGTGTGATCATTGAAAGAAAGCCTATTTAGAAAGTCCTCTTATACCTGACTAAAAATATAATGATGTGAGAATGATGGGCCAAGTGAGGAAAGGCTTGAGCTGAGGTATTGTCTCTGACATTTCATTTGATCAGGGGTACCAACTTTGACATTTCCTGTGTTTGATATTTGTTAGACCCACATCCCAGAAAATTTAACCTTTTCAAATCTTGGAATAAATGGCTTAAATACTCCTTCTCCAGTCTAAACACACACACACACACACACACACACACACACACACACACACATGAATTATGTTAATTAAGCTCACAATGTAGTTAGTAGCAGTGCATTATGCTTGGGTTTCTTTTTAAAATATATTTTGACATAAATACATCGCTGAGAGACAGCTAGGACACATACAACAAACAGAGGTTCACCCACATGGCCATACTCTGTCTCTAAATACACCTTGAATATATGTGGCTCTTGAACCCAGCTCTTCACAGCACTTTACATAAGTGAACAAGAATGGAGTTTGAGTGCATAACGCATACACATTTACACTTGTTAGGGATCCAGAATTGTAAATTCAAAACTGCAATTCATGGACATTACATGGTGTATATTGATTTGATTTGATTTAATCTATGTAATTACACACACTAAAATGTTTGGACACTGCCAAATTAACTAAAAAATAATTGAAAAACTGGAATATTATCATTATTATTACCATCAACAACTGCAAAGCAAAGGCATGAAGACTGGCCTGGATTAATAGCTTTAAAGGGAACGCAGAGTTGGAACATCCAGTTGGCTAGATCTATCCACTGGCTCACCCTAAATGTGGGGAAGACTGGCAGCCAACAAATCACCACCGTGTTTGTGTGTTTTACATGATTAAGCATATGGAAGGAGCATTAAATCAGCCTTACCTCACTTGACAAACTGGCATCTGCAAGACCCACTTCCTATCTCCATGCACATACTGACAGGGAGTGTTTCCATTAAAAAATTAATTAATTATCTGACATAAAAACATGACAATTACCACCGAGAGCAATAAATTAAACTTCTTTTAGCCAGTCTCAAGATTTAGAGTGCTGTGTTGACCAGCAGCTTTTATTGCTAAGTAATGATAGACTTGGTAGTTAGCATTAGCAAATGGATATAGCTTTTACCATTAAACAAACCACATAAATTACTTTATAATTGGTTTAAATTTAATCATATTGTATGCATTCACTTGTGCTGCAAATACTGAGATAAGTTTGAAAACTTATATCAATTACTCTTTGTGATTTGGATCCCAAAGTGGCAATTTGCTTCTCTTTGTTTAAAGGAGAACATTAAAACGTTAAAAAAGCTAACTCCTGGGAGTCTGCTGGAAAGCTAATTGGGGTTAAATATAAAATATGTAGGAAAAAAACAGAACCAGGTACACTGTAATACTAACAG